TAACTGAAAGTTTGGGGGGGCCAAGGACCCCCACCAATATACTTGGCTCCACCTCTAATGGGGTGGATAGTTTGAAGGAAAATTTTGATGTAACGCACCTGTGTTACATTGGTCCAATTACCCTCTTTTTATTTAATCATTTAACATTTTAATTTATATTGAAATTCTTTTTAAATTGTTTATTACTAAAGATAATGTTATAATTACAAATGTATTTATTTTATATTATTAGTAATTATGTATTGGTGTTTAATTTTATCCATTATTATTTCAAATTATTTTTGGTTTAAATTATGTTTTTTTATTCATGACCAATTGTGAAAATTATCCCCCAAATTATACATAAGATGTATAGAATCAACAAGTGTAATGTGAACCATTTCATACTACCCCTATGGATATAGACAATTTCTTTCTAGATAGTTTTGTTCATAGTTCAGAACAATTGTAGATAATGATATTGCATATATTGGTTTTTATCATAAAGTGTGATGTAGACTGATCCACGTCAATTTTTCATCCATGTTATAGAAGAAGAAATGAAGAGATGAGACGAGGAAGAGAAACGTGGGAGTTTAATAATCTATATCTTTATAATAAAGATGAATGTGTGAGGGCCAAAGACCTCACACCACAACTCTCACATGTAGGCCTCTCTACTCTCAATCCTTGCACATGTGCAGTTCCAAGTTTTTCAATCACCTTTTTTTGGTAAACCAAGTGTTTTAATTGCTAATTTTTTTTATAGCAAGTGTTTTCATTGCTAATTATTCTCATTTATTGGCATTTCTAATTACTAATGGTTGTTTTAATTAGGGGTGTAAATGGATAAAATTCGAATCGGGCCAAGCAATATCAATCTAAATTTGAATCCGATTAAAAAATTCGATTCAATATCCGACGAATATTGAAAATTAACATTCGAATTCGAATCCAATTAAATATTCAAATATTTGATTCGCTTCGAATTTGACTAATTAATTATTTTAGGTAATTAATAAATATATAAAATAAATATTTTATTTACATAAAGTACATAAATATATAAATTATTTATATAATTTAATTATATATATATAGATTATATAAAACATTTAAAAATTGTATATATTATATATAAGAATTAAATAATTGATCAATTCGGATATTTATCAAATCGAATCAGGTCTTATCAGAATCTGATTCGATTATGTCAAATTTCAAATTCAAAATCGAATTTTTGAATACTGTTGATACCCCTAGTTTTAATGGTAGAAAGCTTGAAACCTCCAATGGAGCCTATTCGAGCACCTTCCCCAAGGGGTAATCTTCAATATCAAGAAAAGGGGGAAAGCCCTCATGTTTTGTTTTGAGTTGTTTTTCCAAGTGTTAATGTTGTTGTTTTTTAACAAATTGTGCCTAGGATTTATTTTTGGTTTGAGAAAAGGGGGAAAGCCCTTATTTTTTTTTTCAGAAATTTCATTTTCTTTTGACTAACTTGTCATTGATGCTTCTCTTGTGTTAGGAATATGGGAGGTGCATTCTATATTAATTGATGTGTTTGGCGTTCATTGTTATTGGCTTTCTTGAGTCCTCTGAGTGGGTTGTTTGCTTTAGTTTTCTGGCTAAGGTTATGTTATTGGTGATTAGTCTAATTGCACAAGCTATAGCTAGTACATTCGAGGAAGGTCGAGATTGCATCAGCCATGGAAGGTCTGTCATTAGGTGGAATGGCAGCACTAGCTTCCAATATCTGAACAACTTGAACGGAGCTAGGGATCGACTTGGACTCACTAGAGCTTTCTTCTCAATATCTGATCAACTGGACAAATCAGAAGGGAAGCACTCGTTCAATTATGCACTGTACCTGAAACTTGATCCAAAATCATTGAACTGATCTATTATTATTTCCCCGCCACCTTCTTTCTTTTGATTTAATAAGTGGTTTTCTATTAGTTCAATGCCTTTTTTGGCTTTGTTAATTAGATGAAAAATTGGTGATTGTTTTGATGATTCATGCTTTTATATTTCTTTTTTTTTTTTTTATGCCAATACTTTTAGATTCATTGATCTTTGTTGGAATATCAATATATTATTAACATCCTTATGAAATAGTACACGTTGGTTTTCATGATTGTTTCTATTAGTTTCCCCAGGAAAAATAGTAGACCTTTCAACTTGTATTTCTGTGATTGTTTCTGCAAGATTTCCATGTTTTTACCTTTCAATTTCAATTCTGAAATTGGTTCATGTTAATCTGGAGAAAGAAAAAGAAACAAAAGGTTGTGCACTTTGTTAGACAAAAAGGAATTCCTGTTGGCTTGGGCTAATAGGGAAAGTGAAGGATCTGATATATTTTTTTACAGGGGTTAGAGAATTATTAATTTTTTTCATGTAATTTTTGAGTTATTAGATTATGGTAGTAGACACCACTTTTGTATAACACTGATGAAATGAATCTAATAATTTTTTAGCTTGATTAATACAAGAGGTTTTGCCTGTTTTTTGTGCCGATGGATATTGTTTCATGGTTTAGGTCAAAAGATCATTAACAAGTCATAGGAATGTACTTTTTTATGATTTTTGTGGGCAGTTTTCTTTGGAGAACCAGTTCAATGTTTTGTCCATCACTAGATTACAACTCTTTGTTTCGTGCATTATCATTAAAGCTAAAAGTGGCCTTACTAGTTGAACCATTCAACAATGTTATAATACCTCTAAATGATCAGTCTTTTTGGTAACCAAAATTCTCATAGAAACAGTTTGAACCAGGTGACTTATTTACTTGGTTGACTTGAATGAGTCGGGTCATAGGCAACCTCTGTATAGAAACAATCTAACTAAAGTTAACAAGAAAAGAAGAAGGCTTTAAAGGGATTTACTAACAAGGGACATGACAGGATCTATGGGAGAGGGAAACAAAAAAGTTTTTTGGGGATAAGAATCAAGGGAGCTTTTGACATCCTTTCACATGGAAGATGAGGAAGCATTAGGCCTAGAATGCTAGCTACTAGGTAAGCTAACAAGGAGTGATATAGATATAGACCCTAGACTTCATCAAATGCTCAACGAAATGTAAGATTAGTGCAAATGATGCATCATTATTCAAAATTTTGTATTGTAGAAGTGATAAAATTAATATCACCATATTTACGAAAATTTTAGTAAAAAATTTGATTCATTTTGTAATTTAAAGGAAATTGATTCTTTGTTTGTACACATTTTCGAATTGCAAGACTTAAATATATTTTAGCATTCAAAATTCTTTCTTGTACCCCTTGAGGATATATTCTTATTCCCAATTTGAAAATGCCTTTATGGTGAATTATATATATTGGAAAACCTATAAGTGCTATTAAGCAAGGAAAAGTAGAACGATAGAAGCCAAAGTTTGGTTATGCAAGGAAATTGTTCTTCCACAATTTTAAGCGGCACCAATGGCAGAGGTCCAGGAGTTTGATCTATGAATGCTTAATAGATATTTAGCTAATAATGGTTCCAAGCAAAATTAATGCAAAATAATAATAATAATAATAATAATAATAATAATAATAATAATAATAAAGGTTGCTAACCTTAGAATGATGAATTTGAGACCAAGAGCATACACTTGAAGGAGAATTTTACATGCAAGTGAATCCATTTATGTGATTTTCTAATGTTTGGAAGAAACATATAGAAAGTTCTTTTTCCATTTCTTAAATTTCTAATTTTAGGATTATCTTCTGTTGCATTTCTGCTATTAGAATGCATCTAATCGAACATTAACATGCATGCCTAATTTAAATTGCCTAAAGACAATAATTACTCATCTAATAGAAACTATGTATTATTATTATTATTTTTTTTTGAAATAGTTACAAGAGCAATCAAGTAATCACATATTCACTTTAATATTTATTAGGTTGAAATGGAAGAGGCATATGCAAGATCACCAAGTCTAATTGCTTGTAGTTGAAGCATGTGGCAGCTTTACTTTTATTTGACTGCTTTGATTAAAATATATCTGGATTCTATTTTATTTTATTTTTGGGGAATCTTCATTTACCCCCTTCTTAATTACAAATTTTTGCATAATTGTGCAGTTGAGAACAATGACACAAGGGAGGAATTGATGCCAAAACAAAGGGTTATTATGTCATAAATGGGGGGTAAGGTGGGTTTCAGTGAAATAAAAAATTCCCCTTTTATCTGTTTAGACAAGTATGCAGATTCTCAATGCTCAAGCGATCAAGCCATCATAATTTCTCCAATTTATATGGTATAACAAGTGAGTGGAAAAAGACATATTTTAGCCTTTAGTTTCAAGCGAACAGTCCTTGGTACCATCTACATGTTTAACATTTTTTTATGAACCTGATACCATCTAAAAAATGTTTTAGAGGATGATTAAATTCAAAATGGTTAAAATTAATACTTATAGTGTAGTGTTCACTAGCAACTTACAATATACCAAAACGCTAATAATAGATGTATTAAATAGAGTAACCCAGATAATATTAGTCGTGGGACGTTAATTTCCAATGGATCAGGGCCACGTGTCATATAGAGCTTGATACTGGGCAGCGAAGTTAGGGCAAGGGTTGAACTGAAGTGTGATCTGTGAAGTGCACGGGAGGAGACAGGAGAGTAGACTGTACTCCCCCTCACAAATCTGAAATTACATCCACCTCCTCCTCTACTAGGAGCTAGGAGGTGAATAAACCGCATGCCCCGTGAATAACAGCGGCTGCGGAGAGTTTCAGAAAACCGGACCGCATCCTAATTTGTCTTTGCCCTTTAGGGAGAAGTACAAAAAACACACGCACGATGCAGAATTCTGAATTCCAGCCCCTGTTACTACTAGTCCTCTGCCCCCTATAAACCACATCCTACCCGTGAATTTAACACCAATTCACGGTCAGGATGCATTTCCCTGTACTTTGGGGCTACATAATTCTGATCTGGGCTGATTGGTACTTCTCCTTTTTTTTATATCGTCTTTTACGTGTCTACAACCTATAAATTTGGTCATTCCTCCCGTCTTCTCTCTAGATCTCTCTCTCTGATATCTCTAGAGTCTAGATTCTGGCTGGCTGGCTCTCTGGCAAAAGGACAGGTAAACTGTTCCAAGTTTTAGTTCTTATTACTCGCAGATCAGAAGCTGGAAGCCAACCCTCATCTCCTTCGTTTACCCAGATTCCTTTTGCGTATAAAACTGTATCCACTAAAGTCTAAAGCCAAACACCCAGAACAAGAAAAGAAATCTCCATCTCTACTTTCTCAAATCATGCCCTCTGTCTTCTTTTCAGTTTTTTCCTAGTTTTGTGTTGCAACAAATATAGGTATTAGATGTAGATCTTCTTCTAGTTGAGTCCGCTCTACTGTTTCTCCTATCCTTTACATGAACAACAATCTCCTTCTTACTGTAACATAACTCATCTGCTGGACAAATCCGCTCCTAGCCTAGCTTCTTCTTCTAATTACTTCTCTCACTGAGTCACTGATATTAATCGCTACTAGTACACACACATATATATATATGCTTTAATTTCCCGTGCTTGCTTTGATGCCGTGTCCGAAACGGATCTCCCTCCAGTCCCGGTCGATTCGCCATCCTGTACGATGAATCCCACGTTGTGCAGGTGCCGGAACTGTCATTCCGAGTTATCATCCGCCCTGTGCCGATTGAAATTTTCAGAACATGTTGTCACAACATCTAAACTGCTTCAGGCCCATAAAGCCAACGAAAAATCGACTACTTCCGGCAGTTCTTCGCCGCAGACGTGTAGAATACGGCAGAAAGTAGTGAGAATAATCTTCACCGATGTCGACGCCACGGACTCCAGCGACGACGAGGAAGAAAATGAAATCCTGCGGCGAGTGAAGAGACACGTCCATGAAATCGGTATCGATGCAACTGCTAAAGTGGGCTATGAGGTGTCCGTGAAGAAAAGAAAATTACGGGTACCAGAAGAAGCCGATGAACATCGCCAGAAAAGATTCAGAGGTGTGCACCAGCGCCCATGGGGACGTTGGGCCGCAGAGATACGAGATCCGACACGGGGTAAACGGTTGTGGCTGGGGACGTATGACACGCCGGAGGAAGCGGCAACCGTTTATGATAACGCCGCCATTAGACTAAGGGGCCCCGACGCCGTTACAAACATCCCAACCTTCACAAGAGCAGAAACGGTCGTTAAGGGGGGTGAGTTGCTGACGGCCACGGCTACTTGTCCTACATCAGTGCTCCGTTATGACGGACAAAACTCATTGGACAGATTCGATAACGGTGACGTTGACGCTTTTGGATTTGATATCGACTTGCCGTTAACATTGCCCGACATTATATTGCCTAAGACATATTTTGATGAGGAAGAATTGGGGGAGATTGACATTGACATGGACGATTTCCCCCTCGAACTCGAAATAATCCGATTATGACATTGACGAGGAAGACCATATATTTTGCCTCGAAGTCGACGGCGTCATTATCGTCATTCTTTAGGGTTAATATGGTCAACGAATCGTAATTATCGTCGGTGAACGTTTATACTTGTATCTCGTGGTTGCTAGCCGATTTATAAGGCGATTTTGTCAGCGTGTTGAAACGATCTTTTGTGTATAATTAATTAATTTATGCATATTCATAAGAGTGAGTGGGAGTAGGGACAGGGGAGAGGGAGAGAGAAATAGAGGTGGGAGAGTTCGAGTGATGGAGGAAATTTGTAGTGTAGTGTGCATTCCTTGATTTCCACGCTTAGACGTGGAAAAGCAATTAAGCAAAGCTCTTGACTTTTATACTCTAATAAATAAGGAAAAATCTATCATTTATCATCTATGATGCCGGAGAGGTGACGGGATCTGCTCTTTACAAATGGGCGTCTCACATGTATATCCGGAGGCTTTGAGTCTTTGACCGATTAAAACCACTCCGTCTCTGTGAAGTTTGAAGTTCGAGCCCGAGTCGCTGATTAATGGTAATTGGTGGGCTTGACCTTCACCTTCACCGTTGAAAATGCTCTTATACTTACTTGGAAGCCTGTAAATAAAACACGTGGGTCGATAATTCATGTGCTGACGTGGTAGTTGGCGGAGGGAGCAGATAATACTGGCTGTTGACTGCTGGAGCTGGGTTTCAGTGGGTAATGAGTGATGAGTGATACTGATGGGGATGGGAGTGAGTGGGTTAGTAGTCATCCCATCCGCGCTCATCACTGGGACGGTGGGACCTTTTCATCTTTCAATAAACGAATAAAAGAGAAGGATGAGGTCGGTGTGAAGCGCCTGTGTGAGGAGCAGATCCGGAATAGGAGAGAGACTATCTCTCTACTACTCCTCTACAATAGTCTACCCTATCACTCAGAATTACAAAAGTAGAGCAGCGTAAGATCTTATTATAATGATGGGAATAGAATTTGCAAACTCAAACTATTATGCCAAGGAGTACAAATATAAATATGTACAGGGTAAATATATACAAAATTTTGTATTCTATAAATTCCTTCTAAATTGAGTCTTAGGTTATGTTTGATTGTAATGCAAATATGTACATCATATATTTACCTATTTTTCGGTTCATTAATACAAATACAGTTTATATTTTAAACCATTTTTTGCATTTATCTTGTTTGTTTGAAAACAGTGCAAAAGTATGAGCCCTAAATACTCCAAATATCATATACTTAATGTCTTAATTTTGATCAAAAAATTAATTATCAAGAGAGCACAAAATTATATCCAAAAAATAGATATAACATTGCTTTCTTTTTAGAGTACAAAAATGCATTTTTGCTCTAATAATCATTACTTTTTTATGCATAAATAAACGCTCACAAACACGAACCAAAATATATAAATACTCGGATTCAAAGTTTGTACACTTATCCCAAATTATTATTTGGAATATACGGCCACCGCCACCGTGTTTTGTACACTTGCCAACTGGCGATGACAGTGTGAGTGTGAGTGTGACATCCTGACAGCTGCTGGATCTACAGCAATCGCGAGTACCTAACCTTAATCTAACAAGTAACAACCTCTTGGCTCTTGGCTCTTCTTAGAATTAAAGTTGTTACAAAGGCAAAGCAATGTATCACAGTTAACACAAACTAGGTAGAGAGGAGCCTCCCCTCCCCTCCTCATATCAAATTCTTTGTATATATCGTTTGTCGTTTACATCACAAATTCACAACACTGAAACACAAATACACACAGACCCTCGATCTCCTCTCGATCGGTAAAAAGTAAAAACCTACACCTACTACTGGAGGCGGTGCGGTGGCCGGTCGGGACTCGGGAGAAGAAAGAGTCAAACCCAATAATGCTGTATTGTATAATGGGGTGGTATCACGTATCAATCATGTATGTGGATGTGGCCATGTGGGAGGGCAGGGGGGAATGGGTCCCACACCACATGCCCCAGGATCGCCCCATCCAGGCAAATGGCGAAGCTTTTATCCATTTTAAATTTTATTTTATGTAAAGAATATATATATATAGAAAGAGAGTTTGTGGGGGTAAAGTGACTGGTTCACTAGCCACCGCCGTCGTGTCACGGGGGTAGTTTTAAGCGGAAGAAACCCGTGTGGCGTCTTGGCCAGGACAAGTCTTTATGTGCTTAGAGGCTAGGAGTTGCCCGATGGAATGGCTCCACCAAAGTCAGTAGCACTGGATCATGACCTCAAGTCCAATGGCCGGGGCACTCTCCCGGCTCAGACCGGTCCATGGGAGGCGCCGCTTACRTGCTAAAGGGGGACAACCATAATGGAAGGCGACCATGCGCCGATGAGGTGACTTGGCACCGATGTGAAGGGTCTCCTATATGCCGAAGATGACAGGCACCTGTGTGCCATGATGATAGGCAACCGCTTGGGCCGGAACACACCCATGCGCTAGGGCCAATGGGATAGCTCAATCAGCTTGGGCAAGGGGCTAGCGAGGTGAAGGACATGCTTGAGCCAGGCCCGCATGCCAAGCCTCCCTTGAGTATCGGTAGCATAGTGTCGGTCCAACACTGTCCCCATGAGCAAGTGTGCGCTCATGAGGAACCCTTCTGGTAGCCATACTAGCCGTTAACCAGGGCCGCCCCGCAAGGGGATGAAGGTCTGGGAGTGCCAAGGTTAGGCACCCAAGGAGGTCGACCACCCCTCCTCAAGGAGTACGTTAAGTTATTGGTGATCTGCCTGAAGATGACATCAGTTCTCCCAAAAATCTTACAGGTGAAAATGACGGGCATGTCCCTAACGTAAGCCTGCCAAGCGTAGGCAAAGCTAAGCCTGCTTTGAACCGTAACAGTCAGGCGTCGGCTACGACCAAAAGGAAAAAAAGGTAGGTAGATAGATAGTGGATGATGCACCGTGCACGTCAAGAGATCCAGTCATCTCATCTGGACGAGATATTATTGGAACTCTTTTGAAGCTTGAAACTTGAAAGGCGCGGTCCTCTGAGTCCCACGGTTGGTCACCAAACCCCGGCCCCCAGGGCGGGACCGGGAGAGGACAAGACAAGACAGACTGACAAACAGAACACTGACAGAAGAAGAAGAAGAGCAGAGAAGAGAAGCTTTTATGGATTCAATTATCATCCATTCATCGGTGTTTATTTACTCAATACTCAAGTCAGTCCTATGGAGTATGGACGGACTATATATGCTGATATTTTGTTTTGTTAATGATGTAATCCCCTGCGTCCTGAATGGCTGAGGGTCAACTCGATCGTCATACCTCATCCCACTACTGCTTTTTTTTTTTTTTTTGGGTGAAGTTGATAATGTCCCTTTTGGATTCACATACATTACACTCCATGATCCATGATCCGTACCTTTCACTTTCAGTTTCAGGCCCAAGACCAGGTCAGAGCCGTTTTGACCAAACAAACGGACTAGCAGACCCGCACCCATGGCCAAATTGCAATGTTATATGATTGATATCCACCATTTAAAAAGAAATCACCTGGTTTCAAATCTAACCTCCCTCCCATGTATCAGTTACATCTTCTCTTCCGATATCGTAATTTAATAGTATAACAGAACCACTCGATGTATATAGACATCATCATCATCCCAATTCATGCATCTGATGCACAAACATTTTTTCAATAGGATGTTATGTTTGAAAATTTTAAGAACGTGGAATTATCACTTTTTTGTGAGTGGATAGTATTTTTTAAGAGTGAGAGCTTAACCTCTTCTAAGATTCTATTTATTGAAATTTTACAATGTCACGTGTCTAGAGGATGAGGACTGTTGTTTGAAAACCTTCATTTAATATATATATATATATATAATAGATTTAGATTTCTTATCTGAACAATCTAAAACTTTATTTATAAATTCATAAAATAAAATCTTCAAATATTACAAAAATTTATCATCAGTCAGCCCCAACCAATTCAAGTACATAGCTAGGATGTGTTGACAAATTATGTTGTACGATGGGAATCAATGAAGCACAATGGTATGGTTAAGGCTGTGGAACGTGGAGAGCCAAAGTTTGGTCCATCCACGTCTCTTCCAAGTGCCAACATTGCCGCTCTGCTTTGTGCTCTCAAAAGACAAATCTATAGTCAATAGCATATACACCATCAAAGTCTCAGCCCTAGCTCCTCCTTACGATGGCACTTATTGTCTAATTTAATGCACCGTAACACCCATAGTCCCATCAAACAAGGTTACCTTTGTTTGACCAAAAGGAGACTTTTTTTATAATCTAAGTAATATTATTAATACAAACGGAGCTGCAAACAGTATCTCTTTTGTCCGAATTCAAATCAGATTGCGCCAATCAAAATGCTCTCTCTCGCACTCAAGGATCATACTTTTAAATAGTAAATACAAAATGCTCTCTCTCTCTCTCTCTCTGGCAACTACTCTCTCTTCTATAGGGCCACTGACCACACACGAGCACCCTGAGTCTCCTACGTTCATTTGGGATTGACAACTGTGGGTCCTGTAGCACCGAATCCAAAAAAGTTTCACGTAACACTAATTTGTAAAGATGCAAGGACACTAATTTCTTCTAAACCAACAGTTAGATCGTATATATTGAACAGGGATACAAACACCCAGGTAGAGGAAATACCTTCTATTGGAAAGAAGTGAAGAAGCTAATAGTTTCCTTTAGTGCTAGAATGAATGTGTCAATTTCTTCTTTAGTATTGTAGAAATGTAGGCTGGCCCGTGCACTTGAACCGACTCCCAGAAACCGGTGGAGAGGCTGAGCACAATGATGACCCGATCGAATGGCTACTCCATGCTGAAAAGAAATATATGCACGACACATCTTGAAAATTTACAAGTAGCTAAAATGCATTAAACTCTAAATGTGTCAACGCACTTCGACAAGGAGTCCAAAAGAGAAATAAGCACACATGGACATACAACCATATTGTCTCCAAAGGGCCCAGTAATTTCACAAAAAATATTTCTAAATCAAATTTCGAGGAACCCTACTTTCTACAAAATAACTAGGATTGTTCATTTCCTTTTTCTGGTCTCTTTTTACTCTCACCTGACTTTATATTCAGGAAGAACAAAAAAAAAAGCGTCTTTTAGTACTTTTACCTGTTGATCAAGATAAGTAGCAATATCTGTTGGGTGAATATTGACAACATTAAATGAGCAAAGAGGAGCACGGCGGACAGTTTCCGAAGGCATGGGACCGTAGATGCGGATATTGGGGATGGAATGGAGCCTTTCATAGAGATAATCAGCCAGCTCAGTCTGGAAACAGCAAAAAAAAGATTTTAGGAAAAGGAACTGTTTAACCATAAAGCTCTTGAAATGTGTTCCTTACATGGGTTGACATTTCAAAGATATAGGCATTGCTTTTTTCAGGTCAAATCTTGTTTCTAACAATAACAATATGCACCCAGACTCCCCTAGCTCTTAGATCTTGCTGAACAAGAATGGTTGCCAACAAAAATTGATAACAAATCTGATGTAGTTCATGGCATAAAGTTCAAGCTCTACCTTTTACAACAGCTTATAGAACCAATAATGACACCTTAGAACATCTTATGCACTGCCAGAGTACATAGTTGTCAAGGCGACGCCTAGGCAGCAAGGTGCCCTTGGAAGCTCGCCTCACCCAGTCACCAAGCATTTTTGCATACTGTGTAACAAAATACTTTTATATTGTTATTTTTTGATATTATAATTATAAAATGGACATTATTAAAGAAAAATATTCATTTTGTGTTTATAAACTAATTTCTTTTTATTATTTTCTTAATCAACACAAACATTGATAACTGCTGTATTGAACCCTCAATGACTTCAAAATCTGAACCAATAAGTAAGGGAAGAACTTAAAATTTTGTCTAATCAACACATTCTTCCACCTTTTCTTTTCTTCTTTTCCTATAACAAAAATAGGGGTTCAGCCCCTATATTTTTTGAATTTTCATTCCTTTCTAATTTTTCTCATAAATATGTTGATTTTCTAGACTTAAACATGAAGTTTATAATTTTCTTATGAAAATTTTGGATAGTTATTAAAGAAAGTTGGTATGGAACCTAGGGAACTACCCTAGGATATGTCACTTTTACTTAAACAAATCCATCGCCAAGGCGGCTAGGCGACAGGGCGACAAGGCGCCCCCCTGTCGCCTAGCCTCGCCTTGGTGCCTTGAAAACTTTGCCAGAGTATACTATAGTTGACCTCATTAAAATTAACCACTCAGGCTGTCAAGGAGTCAGAGTTGGATAGGATATATTATTAATAAAATGAACTAAAAATGACTTTGATATTATATATTATTAATGGGATGAATTAAAAGTAACTTCAATTAATTGATGACTAAAAAAGTACGATACTTAACCAACTTTGTTGATAATTTAAATGTATGGTAATATTATTGGATAACATCTTAACCAGATCAAATTTGGGGTAAGTGCATATTAAATCCACTCATAAGTGGATTTGATATTTAAGATCCATATCTGATAGTTAGTTCTGATTTCAATTCAGATAATCAGATACAACTGGAAGCTCTATTAATCACAAAATATAGTACCCCGGTAGTGGATTTGATATTTAAGATCCATATCTGATAGTTAGTTCTGATTTCAATTCAGATAATCAGATACAACTGGAAGCTCTATTAATCACAAAATATAGTACCCCGGTTTAATCAATGAAAAAGATGAGGTCCGATCTTTGGGGTGATATCTAAATTAACAGCTATGTATATTATGCCATTAATGTTTTTCCCATAAAAATTTTGCACCCAAGATATCTATAATTTAATACTCTACTACATGGCAACCAATGTTAGATTGATGCAGGTATAGTAATTGGAACCTGGCAAGATGCGTAGTGTTGAACCTGGTTAGTGCAATAAGTAGGATTAGGGAATTGGTGGATATGCATATTTTTATTCTAACTTCTAAGAAAACAAAGCAACCATAAAAACATATTTCAGTGAAAACAATTTATACTTGACTGTACTAGATATTTTGAGTATTAAAAATCTAAAATTGACTAATCATCAGCTCAAGAGTGAGAAATTTTGGTCACATATAACAGAAATTTTGCAAAACATGTTTATTTTTTATTTTTTATTTGTCAAAACATGTTTATTTGTGGCATATTCAATGTTTCAAAGAGTCCATGTAACATTATAAATCTTACTTATAGCTTTAATAATATAGATTAAATGTCTCCACCACCACTATCAACTTTCATGGTAGTTGTAATGGTGATTACCACTAGGCTAACATTTTACTATGGTTCTATATAAACAATGCTTAAAACAGTCCAAAACTCACTATATTTAAGGTCATTATTTACATGCTCAAAACGAAAAAAAAAAAGAAAACCAAATACTCATAGATGATTAGGGAATGATAACAGCCATTATTTGAAAGGCATGGTGAGAAGAAAAGCAGTGGTCATTTCAACGATGTTGGAAGAAAGAAATGCAAGGATTTTTAAGAAGAAAAGAGCCAAGAAAGCCATAATTAAATAGTGGTTTGGATCAAAAACCATGGAGGTGACAAATGGGTAGATGGGCTAATCCGGATAATGCCAATGTTTGCACAATCCTCCTTGTGTCATCGAATAGTTGGAAGTGACATGATGCAGCACAAAGTTACCAGAACAAAAACCAAGAACAGGTTTGCCTCTGCAATGGTGCTAATCTATTCATGCATGTATATGTATATGTATATGTATATCATGGTTTCAAATGTCGTGACATTTCGCTAATGTCGTCAAACATATGTTGATGTCGAGGCTCACCGACATGGAAATGGATAGTAATATAAAAATTACATTATTTCGGTCGACATTTCCTATACTTCGGAAATGTCAACCAAATCGGTCCAAATAACCAAAAAAAAGAATTTTTCCTATCATGTCGACAGGATGCCAACAGGATGTCGACTAATGTACATTAATAATATAATATATTAGTATATTATATTAATATAATACAGTATATTAATATAAATTATTCCATTAATAATTTCTATTTAATATTTCAGATAAAATATTTATAAAAAAGAATTAACAAAAATAAAAACAAAAGAATAAATTAATTACTTTATAATATAAAACATAAAATATTTTTCAWGTAATAAAATAWTAACTAGTTAGTATTTTTTAAATATTTATTAAAATCAGAAAATGTTTATTAAATTTTATAATAAATCATATTCTAAATTTAATATAAAAATCAGAATAAATTTATTAAATTTTCTATTAAATCATAATTTTATAAATTTAGTATTAAAAATCATAATAAATGCATTAAGTTTTATAAGAAATCAGAATTTATCATAATACTACAAAAAAGAAGAATCAGTTTGTTAAATTTATAATAAAACATAATGTATTATAACATTAATATTTAAAAAATCGGAATAAATGTATTTCTATTTACTAGTGTGAAATAAATATATTAGAATTTATAATAAATCAAAAATAAAAATAAGAAAAGAAAATATCGGATAACCTTGTAAAAACATCAAAATACATAATAAACCAGTAAATCGTCATTTACTAATTTGTTATTGATCTTAGTTTCTTAGCTTTATATAATGGTTGGGAATAAGATAATAGTCTAGAAATATGTATTAATGCTTCTTTTATCATTTTACAAAATTTCATTGCATATTTCCACAACGTCTCTAATTTTTACAATATTTCCCCTTGACATTTCCGACATATGTCCTATATTTTGGTAAGCGACGTTTCCATCAACATCGGCATTTTAAACCTTGATGTATATGTATATGTATATGTATATGTATATGTATATGTATATGTATATGTATATGTATAATGAGAAGGGGAAGATGAAAATGGCAGGTCACTGACCTCATAATCATGGATTTTTTGCATGCCAATCTCTGACAAATAATCAATTGCTGCGCCTAGTCCTATGACTTCCCCAATTGCAGGTGTTCCAGCTTCAAATCTGTCAAGATAAAAAAAGTGACAGGTATCTACACAAATAAATTGAAATCTAGCAGGCAGATCAAGAAAAACATAACTGACCAAATGCAACTGCAGAATATAAAATCACCAAAGCACCAAAAAACAGAATAGAATTTGCATAAAACCTGAAATCCAGTACTATGAAAATACAAACATAAACCATAATAGCTAAACAAAAAAAATATATTGGTAATTCTCAAAATAATGCAAGTTTAACATGGACGGATTTATGGAGTAAGAAAATCAAGTCAAAGAATTTCATTTCAAGAGATGACATTAAAGCACCAGAAGTAGAAGCAGTATTTTCCTACTACTTTGTGCATGAGATTAGCAAGATGTTGAGAGTAGCGACCTTAAAAGCAAATTAGTCTTTCCAAGTGTCAAGGATTTGAGATGCACGTTTACATGCTGATCCACCCCCTATAAGGAGTTGTTTGTCTCTACACAGATAGAAATGATAATGCAGACTGTTTTGCATTACCACCCTTTATGCTTCTTAAAATTTGATGTATACAGGGGGAACAGTGAGAATATTGCTTGCAGAACCCTGAGATGATGCTAGATAACAATAGTAACTTTTAGCCCCAAATCCTTCTATATTGAACAAAAATCAAGATGAACACTTAGATACGTCATTGTAAGAAATACAGGCTGGCCCGGATAGGTCAACCCCATCATGCTAACAATAGACCATATAGTTACACTTCTCTCACAATTTTAATGTCTGCCACCTGATCTTCAGACTTGACAAGAGGCATATAAATCTCCTTATGTTTTACTTTATCAAAAGTAAAATGACAATCCACCTAAATATGCTTAGTCCTATTATGCTAAACTAGAGTGGAATGGTGGAACAGTATTCAGTATATCCAACCCCATATAATTGGGGTAAGGCTTAGTTGAATCCAATTGAGATTATGAGCAATATCAATAACAACAGTATTGTAACAATACAATCATAGGGCCTTACATTAGAAATCCAAACTCAAAGAAGAGTCATAAACCATAAAGTCTACAAGGCATGCATGCCATAGTCCAATACCCTGTCATAAAACCAGACCTAACAACAACCATTTCATGATTCTTCACGTCACAAGAAACACCCCTCCCCCAATTAAACTGCAACAATCACACATGCATCTCCTGTCAGTAATGGATCATGCACAATCTCCATGAGTATATGCCTCTATTTCCAAATAAACATTGTTAGTAAATAGAAATCCTCTGCTTATGGCTGATTTTAGGTATCTAAAGATTAAATGTTCAGCTTCCAAATGTAGAGAGCATGGAGAACGCAAAAGTAGGCTCACTATCCCGACAGCACATTCTATATCTGGGTAAGTAAGAGATAAATAATATAGGCCTAGCAACCACCTTGAATACATACCAGTATCTTCAATAAGTTTGCACCATGACCATCCCATCTAAATTTTGCTCCATAGGAGTATCCATATTCTTAGCAATTTACCAATTTCTTGACTAGAAAATGTGGGAGCCAAGTGATCATTCAAATCATCATCTTTTTGCTAATAAACGAGATTTTTATTAAAAGAAAATACTGAGGAAGGTGACCAGCAGTCACCCAAGCAAAGAACAAAAGCCTATGCCTCCAAAAAGCCAAACCCAATCTCTAAAAAACCAATGCAATCAACATTATTACACAACATGACCAACAATGAAAAAACATTCACCCCCACAAACAAACAAGACACAAACACCTCTCTACAACCACAAAGCAAAAAGACTCAACTCTTCATGAACTTAATTGGGTATCTCTTTGCTTCTTCTGCTAACTTCATTTGACTTTTTCACCATCTTAGTAGGTCCAATTCCAAACAATCCCCCTTTCGATACTTTTGATACTTGAATTGTTTGAGGAGTTTTGGCTATTGAATCATCTAACCGGATTTGGGTTCTTCATAACCCTCAAAGTCTGTTGGCCATCAATAATTCATTTCAGCTCCATTACCACATTTCTCTCAAAAAACTGATCCAGTGCCAAACCCTAACTTCTTTAAGCTGACTTAGCTTTATTTGATCATTCTCTGATCTTGAATCTTCTTTATCCTGCAGAAGCATCGGATGTCTCTCCTCTAAAGCTTTAAACATTTTCCTAGCAAAATCCTCTCCTCCAAAAACAACTAACCCCAATGCTTTACCCATTTCCACTTCTGTTTCCACCACCTTTTCCAAATATATTGTTCCATCAACTTCATGAGTCTAGTCTATTATGGCCTCATCTTCACTTGAGCTATCTCCCTCTCTTCTTCCCCTTTGATAGTTGTTAAAACATCCTCAGATGACAAGTTCACCATCCTCTTGCCCCCTTTTTCTGTTAATGACCTGGAACAATAACTTCTTTTCGTTTCATAGACTTTGAAGCAGGTTGCTTCTTGCAAATTCTTTACATTTCTTCCTACTTTACTTGCTTCTCTACTCCCCTCACCCACCAAAATAAAATCATTGTGAACCCTAGGTATCCTCCCTTCTTCTCCAATAGTCTCAATAATTGCGTCTTGATTCTTCTTACCTTCTTCAAATCTCTCTGCAATTTCAACAGGGAAATCCACTTGTTTGTTTTGTTCTAATTGACTTGGAACACAGTTGAAAGCATTGTCTCCTTTCTGTTAAAGGAACCATTCAACCTAAAAGCTTGAGCTGTTAGGTGAGGTCTATGAATAGGTTTTTATTCTATAATAACATGCCCCCTCACACAAAAGCCCGTCGGGCTTGAAGCGTGGACAAGCACAGGCCCACCCATACCTTGTGCTCATCTTAAACAAGGATCAAACACTAGACCACTTGGTCAAAGTGGCTCTGATCCCATCTTAAAGGAACCATTCAACCTAAAAGCTTAAGCTGTTAGGTGAGGTCCATGAATAGGTTTTTATTCTCTAACATCCTCCAAATCCTTCCTTTTCTCTCCCCAGCAAATTTCCTCCATCTGTATCAGCCTTCTGTTTGCATTCTAAATTTCTAATCAAGCAAATTTAAAACTGTACACTTGCCTATCTCAACTTCAAAGTAAGACTCCACACTATTGCATCAATCAGCAAGTATTAGATCTTGTTTTTTTAATAAGTAAAAAATTCTTTAAAATTTCATTAAATCAGTAAAGATAAGCAACCGTTACAAGCTTCCCCAATGGAGGCACAAGGTGCAGCCTCACTCATAAAGAAAAAACAGCACAAGAATTACAACTGAGCCCAATACAACTGATCCCTAGTTACCCCTTGCTTAGCTAATGGATCAGCCAGAGCATTAGCCTCACTCCCTACCCATTGTATAATGATATAATCAAACTATGCTGTGTTAACCATCCGAACTTCTTCATTTCATCTCGATAGCACCATACACTGAATCCGGGTCTTTTAGCCAGCCCACCACAACCTTGGAGTCCCCTTCAATTACCAGGTTTTACAAATTTGTCTCTTTTGCAATCTGAACACCTTGTAGGACTGCAAACAGTTCAGCCCTTACAGAGTCTCCGTTCCCCACCAATCCTGAAAAAAGTGCTACCAGATTCCCTTCCCTATCTTTTATGACCCCTCCAATCAGATCTTGTTCCACTCCTAAATTAACTCCTTATCCTTCCAAGTCCTCTACAGATTGAGTGATTATGTCAGATTTATCATCATTATCACCATCTAAGCCTTATCCCAACTATATGGGGTCAGCTACATGAATCCAAGTTCACCATTCCATTCTATTTAGTGCCATATCCATCGTTAAATTACAAGTGCACAGTCATTTAAATCCTACATCAATTAGTATCAGATCTCTGTCCTACATCAATTAGTATAAAACCTATCAGTCCCACATCAGTTGTTATTAGAGCTATCAGTTCTACATCACTAGATTTGGCACATGTTTCTGTCAAGAAATAAATACCAATCCCTAGCCCAAGAAAATACTTAAGGGGACTATCAAGAAATAAATCTTTATTGTACCAAGTTTTTATGGGACTATCATTGGTAACAACAATTTTTATCCACATAAATTACAGAAACTGTAGTATACCACCTTCAAAACTCTTGTAAAAGAAGTATGGAGGCTGAGCGGTTTGAGCAAGAGGGGAAAAATTGTCTGGAACATGGTCCCAGCAGCTGTCTTTTAGGGCCTGTGGCAGGAAAGGAATGCCTTGATATTCAAGGATAAGTAAGCTTCAGTAGAAAATGTTTTCCATAGGATTTTGGGCAGATGACACTCATGCTTGTTCATTCACAAGTCTTCCAGAGAAAGGATTCATAATTCATATTTTGTCTATGAAAACCTTTTTGTTGGTTGCAATGTTATATCACCCTGATACTGCAAGGGCAGTTTTTGTAATTTCCCTTTCTACAGGCTCTTGTTGTACAGGGATTTTTTTTGAGAATTAATGAATTTAATTTACCTTTTTCTCAAAAACAAATCTTGTTTTTGAGAACACAGATAGAAGTCATGCTATCATGACTTCTATCATCTATGTAACTGCACCACTAAACCGCCCAAACAATGCTACAAGGAACTGTTTGAGAACACAGATCACTTTCTTCAAGTGACAAATTTTATTGAAGGGATGGGCAGGAGGTTTCCTGTTCTTGAAAAAATTGATGTATAGTGGTTTAACAAAATTGTTTCCAAGGAGCAAAATGGGATGGTGGATATTGCTGATAAAAGAAGGGTGGACAAAATTGCTTCTCAATCCTTGGCAACTTTTCTTGTATAGTGGTTGGTTTAAGGCCCAATTGTCCACACAAAAGAGGACTTTGTTTTCTGTACCCTATTGACCACTAAATTCCCTTTTGAACAAGTTCTCTGCCTTCAGGGATACCTCTCCAATTCTAAGATATGTCATGTCTAGGTATAGCCTCAAAGAATTTTATGTCAAGTAAGTATTTTTTTCTTGATTAGCTGCTTCAGACATAGATTTTGTGGGTCATGAAGAATTTTCTATCACATCTTGGCTAGGCAGGTATTGTTAATATTTTTGCCCTACTAATCCCAAGTCCTCCTTTGCCTTTAGAATTACAAATCTTACTCTATCCAACAAACACAAAGGGTTTTTTTTCTCAGCAATACCCGAAAAAGAGTTTTCTTTGTAATTTATTAATTTCCTCCAAATTTCATTTGGCAAAGGGAAAGGAATTCATCAAAAAGTAAGGCATTGCACTTGTTACCTATTTGAAAAGTTACTCTCGAAGTTCAGATTTACATTAAACAAGTTTTCCTTTTATTCTCTCCATATATTGGTTCAAGGTTTTCCTCATGGCCTTCCTGTGTTTCTTAGCATGAATTAAGATCTTAATATAAGATTCGTTGCTAATGATTTGTGTAACTTGTGAAGGTTCTTGGAACAAATTAGGGTCAACTTGTTATAATCTATTATTTACATAAATGCCTTGTCATATCAGGCAGTTTTTAATTTGCTTATAAGCCTCTAAGGAAGACATGGTGAGTAGGATACAATCATATGCAAACTGTAAAATTAGGATCCTTCAACCATACTTGGATGGTCTGACCTCCATTTTTGTTCTAGGATTTTGTTTGGAAATTTCAGTTGGGAATTTTTCAGTGAATCAAGCCCAAATCCCCACTTGAGCTGCATGGAAAGGGTTGCACCCCTGTGTCTACTCCAGTTTTCAGACCTAGGCTGCATCCAACAGGTTGAATCTAGGTCATAAAACAATAGAACAAGTTCACCAACCTGGAAGGAGGTTCAGCATATGTAGAATGATCTAGAAATACATCAGCAATCATTTCACCACCACCTGCAAGGGATGCGCAACAACCACTTCAGGCACCTGGTAGCTGCCAATTACTCCACTCTCATGAAACAAATATAAGAATTTTTTGCAATAAGAACACAACATTGAAAAGACAAGCATATCCCATTCTCTGGTGTAAAACAAAATAGTAAATAACCAGATAATCTTACCCAGGAAAGGAGGCATAGCAGACAAGAGCTCACTTTTACCATATAAGAATCCAACGCCAGTAGGCCCACACATCTGAGACAGGTTTGTTCCTTAACATTGTGATATTAACCCAAACTGGTAAAGTACATAATCAAAATTGACATTAGAGATACAATAAGAACCAAAAGAAACAATATGGAGAAGGCAAACCTTGTGTGAAGATGCAACCAAGAAGTCAGCATCCAAGCTCTGTACATCTACCACCATGTGTGGAACACTTTGACAAGCATCTACAAGAACCTTTGCCCCGATAGTATGAGACAAATGTGCAATCTCCGCAACAGGAAAAACAGAACCTTTAAAAGAGAAGACCATCACATTTGGAAGTTGGTGGATAAAGTTGAGATGTGCTTTCAGACTATTAAATCATTACCAATTAGTCAAGATTTACGGAACAGAAAATAAGGCAATCAAGATACCACGCACCCTAAAAAATTAGATTAACTGAGACAACATTGTTGCAGAACATAACAAGACTATGAAAGAAGAATTTAGAAATGAATGCATAAATAGGAAAACAGGAGTAACTCCAAAAGCGAGGTGATATCAGGGCAGAGCAGTATGATGAAAAACTTAGTAAAGAGTTTACAAGTTCTCATCAATTCAGTCTTTGATGAGAGTTTAAAGATCCCAAAGAGTTGCAGGGGGTTAAGAGTTTAAAGATCCCAATACAACTACTAGAGATTTCCGAATCACTTCAAAATCCAGTGTGATTCTTCTCCCCCTCAGGATCAATATTGGAGTCTTAACTGGAAGACTTATTTCCTGGTTGCACCGCAGCAGTGAAGACCTCCTCAATGCTGCAATTTTAAAGGAATAACTCAAGGTAAATTGCAGCTTTAGGAGTTTCATAGGATATATCTAAAAGCTGAAATTTGACCTATAAAGGTTTCGAGGTCAGATTCAACAATTCATCAATTTCTCCCTAGACTAATAAAATTTTCTGGAGCTTCTATGATATCTTGTGCACAGACTTAGAACATTAAGATGTATGAGGTGATTTAATTTGAATAGATGCTACAAAAAAAAAGAGAGATAGAACCCAAATTTTCTCAAAAATTGGGCTTTGATTGAAATTTTGGGTTGGAACTCGGTAAGGTGAATAAAAGTGGAGAATAAAGAGGAATGAGTAAATCTGAGAGGGAGCTGAACTACTCTTGCACAAAAAAAAGAAAATCCAAGGAGAAAAGGCTTGAGAAAGCTGAAACTCAGGAAATTGAAAAAGAGAAGAAAGAAACTTACTTAGGTTGTATGGAGGGTCCCAAAGAGTGATTTGTAGCCTTGTTGAGAGCTAGAAGAGATGCTAACCAAAATATCTTGATAAAATTAGTAATAGAGAATTAGAAAAAGAAAAGGCAAAGGTTTACATTAAGAAGAAACAAACAAGGAAGACTTGCACCACTTCAAAATAAAAAACGCTCTTTGAATTGATTATCTCCTTAAAACATGGCTTATGGTATATATTTATATAGACATAATAGGGCTGCAGTTACTTTTCACTAGAGGTGTAAAACGGGCCGGCGGCCTGCCTATGGCCCGCGCAAAGTGCAGGCTGTCCTGGGCCGTGCTGCCCTCCCTAGGGATAATTTGGGGGGTCAGCCCAACACGGACCTGGGCCGGGCAGGCTGCAGGCCGGGCCTTGGGCGTGGGCCAAACCAAGACTTCTTATTTGCTAAGTAAAATTAAAATATTTAGCTTTCCTTTGGGAAGTGAGAACTATTTGAAAAAATAAGAAATCTAACAAAGAAATAAAAAAATAAAAAATAAAAAATAAAAAAAAACTTAACCAAATAAGAAGTCAAAGGGACAAAGACTCGAAGTGAATAACAAATAGGAAGAAAAATAGGAATTTTATTTCATTTAAATTTGAATGATACAAAGCATACAATGGTTGGATGAATGAAAAATAAATATTGGAAAATGGAATAAATTAATAAAATATAAAAAATACAATATAACTACAAATTGAAAATAAAAAATCACGTTATTAAAAATATCAAATAAATTTAAAAAAATAAAACAAAATTTACAATAATTTGAAAAAAAACTATACAACTATTGAGTATACAAAAAATATTGACTTCATCATTTTCTCCTATTGTTCTTGACTTTGATCATCTGCTTTAGGAGAAACATCAGGTGTAGTGTCATGCCCTCCTTTGTCTTGTAATCTATCTTCAGCATCCAGCCAATCTTTAAAGCAGATGCACATCTCTAAATTTTCATCATTCATACAACTTTTCTTGTCGTCCAACACCCTAGTACCTACACTAAAACAAGACTCGATGGAACTGTAGACACCGGAGGGGTTGGTAGATCTCGTGCCATGGTGGCGAGAACTAGATAATCTTTTGCATGTTCACTCCACCAAGCTAAAATATCAAAACTATTTGTTCCCTCCAAGGTGAAGGAAGAATCACCTAAAGTAGAAAAAATTGCTTGTAAATAAAAATTAAATTCAGAAAATAAACTTGTTGTCAAGGTAATGGATTTCAACCTCTTATTAAATAAAAAAGTTTTTCTCTTCCACTACTGGACTCAAGTTCAGAAGTGGAAGATGCAGTTGTACAAGTTGTATAAATTTTATTATTCCCTGTTACTTCAGATTCATATAAACTATACATTTCAAATAATAAAATATTAATTTCTTCTTTTTAATTTCCAATTTCAATATTCATATTTTCACAATATGTTTCAAGTAAAAAATCTAAACCATCTTTCCTAATCCTAGGATCTAATATAGTAGCTAAGCAATATAGAGGAGAAATGTTCTCCCCATGTTTTTTTAAATTTATTTTCCATTATTTTAACAATACTTTTAAATTATGGGTTCTTTCTATATTTTTCAAAACAATCACTAATCATCATTAATTGATAAACTAAATTACAACTAGTTGGATAATAAATACCCGATAAATCATTAGTTGGACCATAAAAATGTTTTTAAAAATCTCTTATGCAAATTTCCATTTCCCAATCTTCCTCAAATATAATATCGATAGGCATTTTTGCATTATAAAAATCACTAAGAAATTGTTTGTGAGAAATACAACTTTCTAACATAGCATAGGTAGAATTCCATCTATGCTTAACATCTAATATAAAATGTTTATATTTTAAACCATAATTTTGACATAAATATTTAAATTCTTGTTTTCTTGCTCTAGAACTTATAATATATATAATAGAATTTTTAATTTTAGAAATATGAGTAGACATAATATTTAAAGCATCCTGAATACATAAATTTAAGATGTGACATGCACATCTGATATGAAATAATCTACCATTTAAACATGGTTTTAATTGAGCTTTTAAAATATTTATTGTTAAATCATAATTACTAGCATTATCAAAACTAATAGAAAATAATTAATTGTCAATTCCATAAGCATGTAAAGTATTTAAAATACTTGCAGCAATAGCTGGGCCAGTATGTGACCAATCAAGCCTAGTAAAACTTAAAAATTCTTTTACTTAAAAGCCAATTTTCATCAATAAAATGACCGATAACACAAATATAACTTATGTTAAAATTGGAAGTCCAAATATCAAAAGTAATTGCAACTTTAGAATTAAGATTTGATAACATATAAATTAAATTTTGTTTATATGAATAAAAAATTTTTAAAGCATCTAATGTAATAGTATTCCTAGAAACTTTTTTAAATTGTGGATTTACAGAATTCAATAACCATTTTTCAAGTTTAATATCTTCAGCTAACAAAAATGGTTGTTTAGCATGTCCAATGTATTTTGCTAATTCTTTCCTCCTTTTTTCTTCAGAATATTTAAAAGTACCAACCCTCCCCCCAGGGGCGGAGCTAGGGGGAACCTAGGGGAGCCATGCCCCCTGCCTATGGTCTAGAAATTTGCACACTCCATACATTTTTTCTATGTAAGTTTATTCCCTCCCCTCACTTTTCACCCAATGGTTGGCCCCCCTATAGCCCACCCATAAGTTTTGGCCCCCCCCCATTAAAAATTCCTAACTCCGCCCCTACCTCCCCCCGCCCAATTTGTGTTTGTGTTGTTTCTCTCCCTTCTTCTTCTTCTTTCTCATGGGTGAGCAAATGTCTACCCAAATGGCCAGTACCACCCATGGTACAATAGCTAAAGTGTTTCCTACATTTTTGGCAAACAACTCTTTTTCCCTTCCCCTGAACCTCTTCTACTTTAAATATTTTCCAAACCTAGCTAATCAACTTAGTGGCCTTCTTTTTCATTCCCCCAGTATCAATACTAGGGGTGGAAGTTCCGTCAATATCAATAGCATCCATATAAGTGCTAATAGTACCATGCTGCAACTGAATATCGTCAACATTGAATATGTTAGGGAATTGGTTTCGGGAGGAGCCGGCCATTTTTTTAATTCTAAAAAAAAAATTAATTTAATTGCACTTACCTGGATTGCCGATTCGGAATTCCAACTTGATTTCAACAGTTGAAGCCTTTCAACTCCAAGAGTCCAAGCCTCCCAAATTGCTAACTTGAAATACATGAGCTGTTGAGCAAGCCTTCTTCTTGTTGAAACTTCAATAAAGTTCAGAATTGGAGAATCAGAGAATGTATGAGAGATTGAGACTTGAGAGAGTATGAGAACTAGAGAAGAGATTAAGAGAATTGTTGAATTGGTGTGATGAGAATGGTGGAGGATAGGGCTATTTATAGGAATTGAAAATAATTCAATTGACCAAAATACCCTAAAAACTAGCCATTTTTTAGTTGTTAGGAGGGGTATTTTGGTCATTGTAAAGTTATTTATCACTTTACCCAAAATGCCCCCCCCAAACTAGCTGTTATATAGCTATTGGGGGCATTTGTGTCATTCTTTCTCCCCCTCCCAAAACCAAAATACATAAATACCCCCCTTATATAGCTGTTTATAGCTGTTGGGGGGTATTTCTACAAAAAAAACCCCAAAAAGCTGAAACATGCCTTTGGAGAGCACGGCCTGCTATAGGCCCGCGTGTTGTGTCGGCCCGTGGACCTGGAACCCCAAGCCTAGCACAGCCCGGACCATCGTGTCAAGCCAAGCAAATGCCAGGTCGCGGACGACACAACCCGATATACACCTCTGCTTTTCACCAAAATTAGAGAATTGTCGTTAGCAAACTTCAACCCAAAGAAAACATCATAACTCCTATTCTACTTATCCTATGACTGAAACTTTAGACAAATTATATAAGACTCAAATGACAACTATTAGACTAGGACATGCTTATATTATGTAAAATTACCAAAAATACCCCTAAACCAGAAAATTAGTGTTTAAATCATTTCCTACTACTTCTAC